CGTCCGAAAGTAACAGATTATAGCTATGGAATTGAATCTTACACGCCAAACGTACACGAATTATTACACGAATAAAAATCACAACTGGAAAAAACTTGCATAGTTAATGTTAGTAGAATGGTTTTCTGAGCCCGCACTGGTAGATATGACCTACTGTGTACCAACTGAGTTTCTTGCCGGATCTTCCCATTGAGTCGCAATTGCGATCCGATAGTAGATTGTGCGAAGAACTGCTCTTCCCGCAAATTGTTAGCAATTCTCTAAGGTTGAGCCCGTGAGCGTTCTACCGATCCGCGGGAAGTTCGAAAATCCCTGAGGCTACCAAAGATCAGGTAGTGAAAATGGCATTATTGGTGTCACGATACAATAATGTTTGAAGGGTGGAATCTGGGTGCAGATAAATTAATAGGTACTCTTAACAACAGCATATTCTATAACCAAGACCGCTCCCTTCAGCTTCGAGTCTAAAGTTGGATCCACACAAGCATTCAGAACACTGTGTAGGAAAGTTACTGATTTTATCTGACCTGAAGATCGGCCATTGTCCAGTCCCGCTTTTAATCCGCAATTTATATTTAGTCTCATTCAGAGAGTATGACATGTTTAATTCCATGATAATTTCGAGTAAAACATTCTAAAACAACATTTAGCAATGGAAAAAATGCGTACTTTTATCAACAATTGGGTCCAAGAGATTAAAGGATCTAAGATCTTTACCTATTATGTTGCCTTACAATACTGAACATTTGTAACTTAATTTATCTATGTATAGCTCACATTCTAAATTCAAAAGAATTTTATTTTAAAAATATGGAATTCCATTTTCAAATTCAGTCATTTTTTTATTGATTAGAGTTTTGTTTTCACTATATTTGTATCTTTATAATGAATATTAACACCATAAAATACGCGTTAATTATGGAATACGAGTTCGGTCGTGGTAACAACGCCGCACAAACGGCTCACAACATTAATGACGAGTATACTGAGTGAATACTGCAAAAGGATGCACGACTCTTCTAGTTTGAACGCTTGGGACATTGAACTTTTGAGTAAATAAACCACGTGGTCGCCCAAATAATATGATATGGAGAGTGCTCTGAGGAATTGTTTGATACCATCATCTCGTTTTTACCATCGCACCGCCCGCCATCGGAGTAGAGTTCATCCATACTACCTGGAACCACTGCCTTTATCCACAGTGCGTTTCCAGAGATCATTTTTGCCACGTACAATCCGGCTTTGGAATGAGCTCCCTTCCAAGGTGTTCCCCGAGCGCTATGACATGTCCTTCTTCAAACGAGGCTTGTGGAGAGTAATAAGCGGTAGGCAGCGGTTTGGCTCTGCCTCTGGCATTGCTGACTTCCATGAGCGACGGTAACCACTTACCATCCGCTGGGCAATAAAAAAAAATTATAACAACGAAAAATTTAAGGCGTCAGTAGAAGCTGAAGATACACAATCTACCGCTGAGTTAGCAGCAGCTTTCAATGGTATCATCAAAACAATATTGCTCCAATAGCGTCAAATCGGCAAGGTAAAAAACTTGATAAGTGAGAGCCACTCGAACTGAACGATCGCCATCCCGATGATAGCGTCAAGGTACCTATGCCTTGTGTTGCTTAACAGACACAGAAATGAAGGGATTTTGACCAGCATTGTCACTTGCGATGATAAATGGATTCTTTTGATAATCGTAAGCGGTCATCATGTTGGTTAGACTATGGTTCAATAACTAGCTTAAGATTGAAGGTCTAGTGCCGGTATAACTCATCACGGCTCTTACTAAATGACACCAGCCTTACTGCCGATGTCTACCTTGAGAAATGGGACACAATGTTGGAGAAACTCTGGAATCTCCGGCCAGCCTTTCTTAGTCGCTGGTCCCCGTTGCTCGTACACGACAACGCTCGACCTCTTACTGCACAAAAGATGGTCTCTAAGCTACAAGAGATACGATTGGAAGGTTTACGTCATCAACCCTACTCACCAGACCTTATGCTATCTTACTTCTACTTATTACTAAGTACTAGTAAGTACTTCTACTACTACTACTTATTACTACTAAGTTTGGACAACTTTTTCGTAGGGAATAAATTTAATACACGTGAACAAAATGCCTTTGACTAGTTTGGCTCCAGTACACCGACTCCTTTAAGAAGAGCATTAAAAAATTACCACTGCGCTGGCAGAGATGCTACGCTATTAAAATATACATTTATTTTTATTTGCTATTTATAGTGCGCCTGTTATCTGTGTAACAAGCATAATGTAAGTTGTGGATATCAAAATAAGTGGGCGTGAGAATTATTTGTTCGGAATTTATCACGATGATGTGTTGTACGGTGGGAAAACCAGATGTTTTCTAAAACTTTAAGAACATAAATGGATCGGATTCAAAAATGTTTATAGTACTAGTTTCAAGGGATTCGAGCTTAGGTTCGAATATGTAAATCTGTCAGTCATCCAAAAAATGAATAAGAATAGCCAAAGACCATTTAATTTAATATTTGAACAATTTCAGTTATGAAGCGTATTACACTCTGCCAGTAGTCGGTTGCGCGATGGTCATAGGAGTTGTGAGCATCATCTCCAACAATCTCTCACAGCATTAAACAGTAACCGAAGTCCACGAAGTTGCAATACCAAATATCACTGTTGACTTCAAAATATTCCGACGGGGTGGTAGATTAAATCGCGAAGCAACTAACTACTATTGAGTTGTTAGGTCTCTTTTGGATGCGCTCGGGTAGCTGTTAGCACATCCCATCCCTCTTGGCTGAGCCCTTGCTCGCCCTCCTGCCCTGGTGAAACTGGACACACATACTTCATGACAGAAATAGGAAGGACAGCATACATATACGTCTGTACCTTTACGGAATATTCAGCATATAATACTTAGTTCTTTTATATTACGTATATGACATCAAAAATATGTTTCATAAGTAAATTTATAAAATTCAGTAATGATCGCGTTCTATTCGGTTCAAAATGCAATTTTTATTTATTTGTGAGACGATTTTTCTTTATTCTATAACATAGGAAGTCTAAAACATGCAAATTTTCCATAACAAAAATGTTCAGTGATTCAAGCGAACGAATATACTGTCGACCCTGCATGCATTAAGCCCGGCATTTATAACGAGTAACGCACAGATCAAAGAGCAGCCTACGCCGACACGTGTCACTTATTCTCATAACAGCGAAAAACGTGATAAAATTGAAATGTCCAAAATTCAGGGTGCACTTAGTAAGATATGAATATGAATTTTAATATGTTTTATTGATGTAGTCGTTCTGCTGTGTATTGCAAATTATTATAATTGTTTTTTTTTAATGTTATGTAGCACGATGTAAACTTCAAGTAATTTTTTTTTTTTCAATTACATACATTTCTTAGGCTGTCATTTATCTTTGATCAGGACACGGAAGTGATTAATTTCTTAAAATAAAAACCGTGCTCCACAATAATACAGTGAGTTGGTAGTTTATTAATATAAGTTATGAATTTTATCATTGTAACTTATAGGTAGGGAATGTGAGATGCTGATGATGACACTACCCTTCTCGCACAGATTAGAGAAGACATGAAAATTCTACTGACTCGTCTAGAAACCACCAGCCTTAAATTCGGATTCTCAATTGTATTCTAAAGCGTTTTTCTCTTCAAACGGAAACCCATGACTGCTTTTCGGCTGAAATAGGCAAGACGGCGGCGGTACTTATGGGTGTGGATTTAAATAATATACGCCTCACCACCAAAAATTTTGCCGCTTCATTTTATTACACGATGTTGTTATTTGTTGGTGGAAGTAGTTCTTGAACACTGATGTGATGCGTATGTTATTTAAAAAATAGGTAAATTGGTTTAAAAAAATTGGTACTGCCTGCTACTGCAGGCATTTGCCATGAACACTGACCTGATTATGTCATCGTTTGATAAGAGTACATCGGGCATCTTATCCTTTTGGATAACTTGAAAAGAATTTAATAATCAATGAAAAACAGACTAAGAAAATTAATTGGACTCAAGTATAGTTAACCGAAGCTCTCCAATGTCTTCGATGCACATGAATTCTCTAATTTTATAATACTAAGCTTAGATAGATTCAAATAAATTATTTCAAATAGTTGATATTTAGAGATATATAGAGCAGTGTACATATATTCAACTGTATGAGACAACCTTATTGCGAAGATGTATTGTTAACAATAGAAGACGACAACTGATAGTTATCGGCAAACACTTACCAAGAGATACGTTTAAGTGCACTTTATACATTTCACAGGATGTGTGCCGCCTATTGTATATTAAAAAAAAAATGGAAGCACTTAAATTCGTCCGATTGAGATGTTTCACATTGATTTTGTTTTCTAATCTCTTCGAAAACTTTTTAATTACGATTAGTTAGATAGATATGTAGAAAAAATATTATTTTTATATTTTCTTTAATTATTATTGAAAGCTAACGTGACAATATTTTAAAATTGTACTTTACAGATCGAGTAAGGGTAAAGACTGACATTTCATTCGTGAATAATGGCGTTACGAATATCCTTGTTAGCTTTATCATGGATCGAAATCAAGAATAATAATTTAAGTAGCCCTATAAAATAAGTATAATAGCATACAAAAATATCACATTTCACTGTATGACGTCCTGACTTGACTACCCCTTGATAAATCGGTCGTATATAACATACATTTATCTCGCTACAAAGGAACAAAAGCATCGATACAAGTATATAAAACACTCGAAACTTCCAAAAAGGATAATGCCCATCATTATAAATTCATGTGCTTTGTCGTTTACAGTATTTATTTTCAACAGTTTCGTTAGGGGAAATCCCTCTTTTCGCTCGAAAGCTCCCGAAAGCGTAGAGAGAAGGCGTCGGGCGTTTCGTTCGGGCACGGGTATTGGCTCCACACTTCCCCACCACGCTAAGTCTCCGCCCTAATGAAAATTCTCCCCTAGAGCATGGTATGAGATTTCATTCAGTACCGGAATGTCACGGAGGCAGGTGGTCGTGTCGTAGTACGTACGTCAATTCGTATTATTTGAGTCATTCGTAACGCTGAGTCAGTGAGGCACGCGCGCTAAGTGATGTTTGGTTCCGTGCAAGCAAAGCTATAGGAGCCGTAGGTTATGCACGCTATGAGTGATCCTTCGCCGTTGGCCGGCATGTTGCCTTTTGACTCTATCTACGAGCAGCCAAAGCCAAGATTCATTTTCAAAATGCCACGTGTAGTGCCCGATCAAAAAGCCAAATTCGAATCAGACGATCTCTTCAAAAGACTTAGCAGAGAAAGTGAGGTGAGTTTTTATAAATGCCAACTTTAACAATTGTATGCAAAGTAATTGAATTGTGTATTCGTTTTTAAATTTTAATGGTTCGATTGCTAAGCCATGCTTTAAACAAACAGGAAAATAATGCATTTGTATAATGTTATGTTAGTCATCGACAAATAATAATTAGGGTAAAATATTTATTTATAGTAAGTATTTAGTTCTACATAATAAATATAATAACAAAAAAATTGCAAATTCACTAATACTTATTTAAATCCTTTATAATCCTTAATATTATTTATTTTTTAATTCCATATAACATGTTATTACAAGGAACAATTGACGATAGGATGACTTAAAACTTTTTCGATCAGAATGTACGAAGTTTGACCGAGTAGAAGGTTCTTTGATTGAAACATAAAATAGTTTCAAACATATTTTATTTATTTCTTATTATCTTATCTTATCTTATCTTATCTTATCAATTATCATTTACTGAACTTAATTTTGATTAAAATAAACGCATTACTATGTACATACCCGACTTAAATACATACTGAATCTGCATGCTAACTTTCATCTCTAACTAAAAGAGTACCTAATCATAAATACATGTTTATCTTATGGAATTCATGGATTTCGCTGTGAATTTACAATACATCCACAAAAAGACAATAACAACAAGTCAGAAAGATATGAAAAGGAGTATACTTAATATGAGACTTCAAAGCAATATTAGCCCACTGAGTTTCTCGCCGGATCTTCTCAGTGGGTCGCGTTTCCGATCCGGTGGTAGATTCTGCGAAGCACTACTCTTGCTAGGGTCAGTGTTAGCAACACTCCGGTTTGAGCCCCGTGAGCTCACCTACACACGTCAGGGTGAAGCTGTAATAGCCTCTCAAGACTATCAGCATAGGTAGGAAAAAAAAAGAGGAAAAAAATAAATAAATACAAAAGCGATATACGGAAATAACAATTAGGAAACAGGTTAATGATGTTCTGGGTTATCGTTAGAAACTTGAACGTATGTATGTACAGACTTCTAAGCGGTTCAATCCACATCGCACGAATAAATAGCAGTAAAATAATTCATTGTAACCATGTTTAGGGCATATCTATGAAAATGAACAGACGAGTATGAAAACACTTAGTACTGGTGGTAGGACCTCTTGTGAGTCCGCACGGGTAGGTACCACCGCCCTGCCTATTTCTGCCGTGAAGCAGTGACGCGTTTCGGTTTGAAGGGTGGGGCAGCTGTCGTAACTATACTGAGACCTTAGAACTTATGTCTCAAGGTGGGTGGCGCATTTGCGTTGTAGATGTCTATGGGCTCCAGTAACCACTTAACACCAGGTGGGCTGTGAGCTCGTCCACACATCTAAGCAAATAAAAAAAAAACATATATGTAAATATTTATTGGAAATATCTGAGGAATAAATAGCCTAGGATAAAACTAAATAGCATACGGAAAAGAAACCTATACTCGTCGAATGATCCCAAATCATAGATACAGCCCACTGAGTTTCACGCCGAATCTTCTCAGTGGGTCGCGTTTCCGATCCGGTGGTAGATTCTGCGAAGCACTGACCCTAGCCAGTGTTAGCATCACTCTGGTTTGAGCCCCGTGAGCTCACCTACTAGCTAAGGTTACGCTGAAATAGCCTCTCAAGGCTATCAGCTTAGGTAGGAATTAAAAAAAAAACCAGCAAATGGACACAGCATTAAATTATATTCAAATCAATTTAATGATTTATCTTTAATAACTCGAATTTAATTTATTCAAGCTTTATTTAAATTTACTATAAACTTTAGTAATTAATTGACCAAATAGGAAATAAATAACTAATACAATGAAATAATAAATAATCATTATAAGTAGGTTTACTTATTTCACGTGCAATAAAAAATCTGCTGCTCATTCTGTTGCACAAACTTGTCTGAAGGAATTTCATAACTTTTTTAATGATTCGCGAACCTTCTGTTGTAAATCAAAACGAGTAAGCATTTACAAGAGCGATCTCTTCCAGACCATCATCAAGTGGGCAAGAATAGCCTAAGAAAATAAATTATCCACGGTGTACTAATCGAATTGAAAAAAGAATATATTTATAAATATCAATAGTTTAATGTACTTCTCTTACTGTCCATACTGTGAATATTTATTTTTTAGCGCACTACGCACTAGATGATGTTTATGTAAATAGATTTTCAAAATGCTTTGATACGCAAGGTAGGTATTTATGAGATGATATATTTGTTGGCAGGTTAGATACACTGGATACCGAGACCGGCCTCCCGAAGAACGCCAGATGCGGTTCATGAGCGGTTGCCGCGAGGGACACACGGAGATAGCGTTTACCGGTACCGGCACAAACCTTCAGCTTGTCTTCGATCACTCACCCTACAACAACCGTGGCTGCGACTTTCAAAAGGAAAATGGAAAAGTAAGTCTTAAATGTTGTTTTGCGTATACATCGAAACGGTTTTCTGGTCAATAGTAGCCAGGTCGTCTGATAAATGAAGTGATGAAATTTTGAAATGGTAATTTTTATATAGCTGCGTTTTATTTGAAAAAAATCTTTGCGTAAACGGCCTTCTGGAAGCTATTCGTTTTTATAGTAAATTATGTTTTGATGTTCAAGTAAAGTAGGTATACAATTTTTCTTGTTAACTATAGTGATTAGCAAGAATGTATCCCAAAAAATATCACTGACCAGTAAGTTAGTTATACATATTTTGTTAGATACAATTTTCTTCATTGACGTGCGAAAGGAATTTTACTCAAATGTATGAAGTGATTGATTTTTTTCCCTGCCTAATAAGTTACTGTAAGTGACAGTTGGACCTACAGTGTATCTCTTGATGCAGGCTGGACACGGTCATCTCATTGTCTCGCGTGCCTCTCGTCCGCTCTCGTCACCTAGAGGCTCAACACGAGACCACACTATGTACATACTCGTTGCATCAATTGAACTTCGGACGCCCGTTGCGATGGACCTTGAAGAAACTGACGCGTTGGCGGACAACTAAATGAACGAGTGTGTACAGGCGCGCTTTCGTTTTCATCGCGAAACTTCCCGAGACCCTTTGACTCGAGCGCAAAAAACCGACACGCTTCCGAGAGCGAACGAGAGCCACGAGACGAGACGAGGGTTCCATGTACACACTCGTCCTCGGCCTGTCTTTGTCACCATCCTCGCCGAAACCGTCGCTTGCATCGAAGAGCTCGACAATTAAATTAACCCATAGACACAGCCCACTGAGTTTCTCGTCGGATCTTATCAGTGGGTCGCGTTTCAGACCCGGTGGTAGATTCTACGAAGTACTGCTCTTGCTAGGGTCAGTCATCACTCCGGTTTGAGCCCCGAGAGCTCACTTACCCGCTAGGGTGAAGCTGAAATAGCCTCTCAAGGCTATCGGCATATGTAGGATAAAAAAAAACCTCGGCCTATTTCGTGGTGTCTTGACGAACGTGTACAGCCAGCGTAATAATATAATTTTAATAAGATTATATTCTCTCTATTCTATGTTACTCTCTTATTCTATATTATTCTTATATTCTCTCTTAAAATGTACATGTGTTTCATGACGAACACTGAAAAAGAAACCCAACCTTTAAACTCGGAAACCCTACGAATAATAAAACTATTATTATTCGTAGTAGAAACCTAATTAAGTACCAACGACATATTATGTAGTTTTTTTTAAGTTTTCTTGGCACATTAGTAATTTTTTTTTTGATGATTGAATGATTACTAGTGGCCCGGAGGCCTTTCCAGTTTCTCCAGGAGAGGTGTTAGTAAGTTCTGCTCCTATGTAAAATAAACTCAATACTGGGTATGCAAATGTACTAACTTAAAATTCAGCTTAACTTAAATTGTAAATTTCAGCTTAACTTACAGCATTGCGTTAGTATCATATTAGTGATATAGGATAAAAAGTACACATACATTGAAAACGACCAGTAAAATGGGTGCAGTGGTTAACGGATTTCAATAAAAATAGTCAATATTGCGTTTTGAAAGATGTCTTCTTCTTCAATATACAAAACTCTGGGATGAGCTTCCTTTCACAGTATTCCCCGAGTCTGCCCTATATTGCTTCAAACGAGGTTAAGGAAGAGTATTTCGCGATAGGTAATGATGGCTGACCGCGCTAACTTTGTTTGTTAAATATAGGTAGATATGTAATCCTGTAGTTAATTTAAGCGATTTGTCTTTCTTTCTCATTTATTAGGAATGTAGGTAAAAAAAAAACATATTTTTTTAGAATTACCATATTTAAAATAGCCTTCTCAAGTATTGTTTTAATAAATAAGGCATCTTTCACACATCCATCACATTTTTTTTAATGATGGGGAATCCGTTTACCTATACCCAGTAACAGACAGCGTTAGGTTAGAGAGTTCTCCTCTTCTTCCAATTCCTTTTAGGAGATTATGCCCCGACAAAAGCGTGCGAAGCAGCGCACGCCTTGAGTCGCGCAACATCCCCCCCCACACAACCCTCATCGACCTCCACCACACCGGCTAGACAAAACTTACCGTACCGCCTAATGTGCGCTGAAAGTTGTCTTCGTCGGTGCCCGTTCTGACAATAGGACGGGATTTCATACCCCGGAAAGATCTCGAGGGACGTCGTCTCGGGAGACACCTCGTTGGCGGCACACAGGAGCCCCCTTGCGCCACTTCACCATCAGACCGACAGCCGAGCAACGAGCGCGCCCGCAACCGGCACCCGACGGCTCCTACGGAAGCTGAGCGGCAGCTTCACGCATGTGCAGCCTACTCTGCCTGTAGCTCTGCACTGAGAAAACGAAGAGTCATTACACTTCCTTTCGCGCTCCTCAGCCTCACGAAGCACCATGACCAAGTCGCAAAACCCAGCCATGGCCTCACACAAAATCTGGTGCTCTACTATATAGGCGACGACCGCCCATTAGGAAGGGTCCTACCCGAGAGCCACGATGAGATCTCTTCGCGAGTGCTCCCAGCCTGGGCAAAGTTCGAGCGCTTGCTGAGCGCCATCGTCTGAGATTTCGACTTCGAGCTCCCACGGAAAAGACATCTATCTCCGAGGACTAACAATAGTTGCTGCTAGTGGCAATTGACCAATATCGACATCTTTGAAGTTGAAGTATTTTAACTAAAACTTGAATGGGAAAAACGACAAATTACTTCATCTAATTATTAAATATTAAGTCTTAATTTAAGACCTTATACTTTAAAATAGATTTACTATTCCCTCTTCCTACAAAAGAAAATGAATATTACTCGTAATATCGTTACCTAGTAGAATTGATTTCGAGTGTTCTTAAGTGTTTGTTAAATGAAGCGAGAGTAAATAAATATAAGTAATAGTATAGAGGCACAGCGTGTGGTGTGCGGATAAAAGGGGCTACCTATAAATTCAATGATGGGCCAGAAGGGTGCTTTTAAATTTCAATTGAGTATACTGAAAATTTGAAAAATAGAGAAAATAGAGTAACATTTCTATTCACTATGGATACTGTACAGGTCGTTTTTAGTAGATTTATTTACGTACTTTAAGTTCAACTTTGATTAATGATTAAAGACTGTTCTGACACCATGCAACTTTTCGTACTTCTGAACGAAGTATGCCACACTGTTACACTCGCATTGAAGTTGTTATTGCAAAATAATTAAATATGCATAAATTTTATTTAATTCAAAATTAGATTAAGTTACTTCCTTCAATCAACAATTGTGATCGAAAGTTACTTTAGTCGATTTCAGTCGTTTTTTTTTTTCAATTTTCTTTTTCGTTTTTTTCCCCCAGGAACTCGCAATTTTATTTGAAATTTAGTTTTCAATAACCAATTTGAAGGCTCGCTCGCTATGTACATTAACACGGGTTTGTTGAGTGCATATATCATTTAGATTGCAATCCTGATCAGATTTAGGTACTATTTGTACGATTTAGTTAATATGTAATGTACTGTAATAATTGTGATTTGTTTTGGGCATAAATAATTATAAAAAAATCGCTATCATTCCAAAAATCGTACATGAATGAATTTCAAATTAACAAACACACTTCGTTTTTTATCTTCTCTTCTCAATCGTGTCACTATTGACAGAGTACTCGTGATCGTCATGTTGTGTTGTCGGGGGCAGACTCGATGCGTCTCATGATGTCTCGCCATCTTTCGCTACTCGAGAAAATTCTACTGCATTCATTTCTTAAGTATTGTTAAATTATGATTTGGATAATAATCAAACTAAATATCCGACTGTGTTTTATGCGTCAGCATCCACAATTCTTTGTTTCGACCTCCTTTACAATTCAACGTAGAAAAGGTTCATTCAAAACTAAACACATTATAAAGCAAAGCGTGACCAGTAAGTTATGTGCGGTGTTACGGATTTATTTTGTACATCAACGAGTCTAAAGTTATTTATGTCTTAATTTTGGTTATGGAAATGTGGGCCGGATGTAACATACGTTGATGAGAAGAGCAGTGACCAGCGACGACCGGTGACGAATGATACTAATAAACAACTTTATTATGACACTTAAAAATGTTGGAAGTGTATGTAAGATTATGTGTTGATCATAATGCTAATATTTTCTGTATACAAAAAAGTGATAAGATTTAAGAAAAAAAGTAATAAATACATTATCAATTTTCGGAAACACGAACATTGACAGTCAATGAGGGTTGGTGAATGGTTTTCAAGCTGTCTGAAAAAAGCAGCGAACCTGAAGAATGGGAGTTGTCGCCGCTAATGGGCACCGCCAATATCAGATGAATAACTGGACCTATCATCTACTTAATTTGAAATTAAAAACATGGCGGCTAAGTGTATTTGGCAACCAAACACAATTAATTTCATCAATTAATTTCATTCATTCAATTTTTTTAGCTTAATCGCAGCTTATTTTAAGCTGTTATGAAACTTTATAGATCCTGTAACTTGAATGCCACCATTCACCGCGATATGAGTTGCATTGAGAAGATATTATGAGGCACTTAAAATAAAGGGGGGCCTATGTTCAGTAGTGGTCCATGAGCTAAAAAAAAAGTTTTCATATTACTTAATGATAAATATATAAAAAATGTATCTGTTTTTATTAATGGGATTGTATGGGATATTCCCTGTAAAATCTGTTGCAAATTTAATATCAGTAAAAGTGACGTACATAGCTTAGCGTAGTGACACAGAGTTGCATTACTCGTAGTATATTTAATAAAATTATAAGTAACGCTTGAGCGTAAGGCTCTAATCGAGCAATACGAGCAAGGGGAAAATGTTCCCCAAAAATCAATAGCCTACAAGCTTTCCCCGATTGGGTAGTCTACGTTGCGTCTCGATACTCCGCCCGCCCTACATCATGGCCGCCACCGCCACCCTGCTCCCTCGCTACAAAAATTACTTTCAGTTCAGTGCGTAGCTGAAATGGCAATGTGTCAAGTATCGATATCGTATTTTGTTTACTAAAACGTTTATATGTTTGCCGTATGTTTGAACACAAGGCCTAGCTTTTACATTATTATCCTTGTAATATAAAAACTTGAGCGAACCAAGGAAAGGTGGTTATTAACTAAATTGCACCCTGGCAAAGTGTCTGCCTGCCACTTATTAAAGGTTTGTTTGAAGCGGATGCCGGAACAAAGCGAGCACGCGATCCATACCTCGTCTACCTTATGTCGTGCTGTCCTTTAGATGTTCCACGAAACCGACGAACTATAGTATCTTCATTCTGTACAACATTTTTTTATTCGAATGATGAATGTTTTGAAAATGCTCTGTGTAACTGAGAAAATGAAAGGTAACAGACTCTGAGGTTCCATTCCTATGGTCTGGAATGATCAAAAGGACGCTCGACTGTTAGTAGTGTAGGCTCTCTGCGTCGTAGGAGAGAATTAGGTAGAACACCACAATCCGAGATGGAATCATACATTGAGAATCACAACCTTTGCATTGACAACCGCTCACGACATCAATCTATGGTGATGACAGAGCTTTCTTTCCTGCATTTTGCTGTTTGTATTGCATAATACATTTTATAAATTACAGTAAAATCTGATCTGTAGGTACATTGACTAGAAATTGTCTATATGTATCTGAACCGTAATTTTGCTGTCTGTAACTATAATACATACTTCAAAAAAACAGTATTTGTTAATTCCGGTTGATTTTGTGAATTAGGTGAAACAGGTTGATTCTAAAAATCATGCACGAACCTTTTGCGATTGAGGGAGCCGTGCTCAAATCTAATGAATTTGAAAAGACGATCTTATTTTAAAATATATAACTGGGGCAGCCTTATAAACCTTTTTGTCCAGTTTTGAAATATTACTTCCGTGCCACATGTGACTGACTGATAAACTGCCCTTCTACGCTGCCACCAACGGAGCCCTTAATTTTTTGCTGACATGGTTTAAGTTAATACATTGTATTTTTTTGTGAACAGGCTCACATCGTATCCCGATTCATCATGAACGGTGTTTGTGTAAGATGGAGAGGTTGGATCGATCTGGAACGGCTCGATGGCGCCGGCTGTCTTGAGCTGGACGAGGAGAGAGCAGCGATTGAAGATGCAGCATTACGTGATCAGATCGAGAGGTACAATCAACGACTACGTGATTTTGAAGACAAGCAGCGGGCATACCGCGAACACGGCGAAGAGCTACGTTCACACTCCCACGTGCATGCCCAACGTTGCCACCAGCCGCGTCAGCCACCACACGCCACCCATCCGACACATCCACACCCCCCACACCCACTGCATATTAAACCTCATTCACAGGGAGCTCTAATATCTTAATTCAGTGATTTTTTTAGCTTTGATATTTGTTATTATATTATTCTACTAACTTACAACTAACTTAGTTTTTGTTCATATTCTCAATATCATTCATAATCACATTACTGGCATCTGCCACATCTGTGGAAAATCGAAGTCTGTTTCGGATCAAGAATCAATAGCTTTTTATTTCTAAATTTTATTAACATGTTGAAAATGCTTGCATAAAAATAGAGTAGCGTAGATAGCTTCAAACAGGATGTATTTTAATATGATATTAATTAAAACCATACATTCAAAAAACATATTTAAAGGTACCAAAAATTCTGTCTATTTTTTAAACAATTATAATGTCTTCAAAATAGTTAATCACAAATTACAAATAAAAAAATATAAAAAGATAAGATAAAGTAAAAGTAGTAAAAAATATTGAGATTAATTAATTCATTGTATATCCTTAACGATTTTCGAATCAGTTTGAAATGAATACGTGCACTTTCAAAAGATCCAAGGTCTCTTCAAGTTCCCTCACTTTTTTACTATACGGTTTTCTAATGTTCATTTTTTTAGGGATCTGAAGTGTACAAAAGAGTATAAAATTTATCCTCATTTATAACTGATCGAGAACACTTTCTAGCGTGAGGTAGGCAAAAAAAAATTATAATCCTTATCCTTATTAGAGGTACCAATCTTGTGACCAATAGAAAAACGCAGACACTTTTCATGAATATAAAATTTGTAAATTTAAAGTTATTCATCATTCATAATCAATCACCTATATCCTCACAGTCTCTACAGCATAACTGCCAAAATTTTCAGCATTGATGATTACACCTGATGAAACAGCTTCCACAATAATTTAAAGAATTAAATTTAAAATCTAGCTCAACAATGTAATTTAATAAGTTTAAAAATTGTAGTAGTCTTTTATGCTTTATTGTCATTTAATGTTGAATAAATCGATTACAATTAATGGCATAGTTAATAATGATACCAAGATATCTGCTTATGTTGTTTTAAGTAAATGTATCATTTAAGTGCAATCAAAAATAATAAAAATGTAGTTAAATTGAATACTTTGCATACCGTAGATAAAGTAAATAGGTTTACTATATAGGTACTTTCCCATTTAATGTTTGTAATATATAACCTTCGACCGTTGAATGAAGTATTTAACCAAATTAGAATCTTCTGATATTTTATTGAAACAACCTACAGATAAACTGTATCGTTATAATTTTTGTTCTTAGTTTAAACCTGATTCGTTTTTGTTTCGTTTTGATTAAAGTAATGTTATTTATTTTTAAGTCGCTAAGAATCTTATACAAAACTTAAATGTACGTACTAAAAAAGATAAATAAATAGTATTGAAAAATGTATGCGGATTATTTCATGTTCGTCTTTCAAATTAAACACAGGCTTCTCGTTCAAACTATTGAGTCTCTCACCGGATCTTCTCTGTGGGTCGCGATTCCGATCCAGTGGTAGATTCTGAATAGCACTGCTCTTGTTAGGGCTAGTGTTAGCAAATTCTCTCAGGTTGGCCCGAAGGCCTTTCCAGTTTCACCAGGACAGATGGGCGAGCAAAGGCTCAGACAGGAATGCCAGCCATGGAATTTGCTAACAGCTGCCTGAGCACCTCCGAAGGAGACCTAACAAATCAAGAGCAGCTGCTTCGCGAATGAATCTACTACCAGATCGTAATCACGACCTGCTGAGAACATCCGGCGAGAAACTTGGCAAGCTGATGCATGGGTTAGATTACCGGGATCCCTAAGCCTGCTCCAAGTGTTAAAGCTGAAGGCGTCTAATGCAATGATTATTGAATCTGATGGATCCGTAAGTACGGACAACCCTTTAGGCTACTAGCGAATAAGTAAGAAAAATAAAATCTTCTCGAATAGCAAACGGCGTTATATTCAGTGTGTATGTTAATTTCTCCTGATAAACATATTCTACACGATCTATTTAAACATCATTTTATCCAAATAGGTTTTTTATTTAACTTGATTTTAAGTGGATACCGGAGCCTATATAAACTTCAAAATGTGAACGGTGGCTTGAGACATGAGGTCAGTGTATTTTTATCGCCTATTGCTCATTTAAAATCTGAACGAAATTGGCAGAATTGTGGGGAGTTAGGTACCTAATCGCACATTCTGTAGTTGGTGAAAATTATGGTTTATTTTTATCCCCATAAAGATTGGTAAATGTACAACTAATAAAATCGTGTTCAAAATACTAACCTGAACTTATCAATATCGACTTGTTAGTATTTACAAACGTTCATGAGCGACGGCTTACCCGATCCTGTGGACCGAATGGTAAACAGTCGACGTCGCCCTAAACGCTTCTTTACGGATTGTCCCGATCCATTAACGGTGCTTTTAGGTATCTCAAGCACCGGTCACAATCCTCGCCGAACCCGTCGCAAGCGACGAAGGACTCGACAAGTAAATTAACTCATAGACACAGCCCACTGAGCTTCTCGCCGGATCTTCTCAGTGGGTCGCGGTTCCAATCCGGTGGTAGATTCTGCGAAGCACTGCTCTCGCTAGGGCCAGTGTTAGCAACACTCCGTTTTGAGCCGCGTGAGCTCACCTACACGTCAAGGAGAAGCTGAAATAGCCTCTCAAGGCTATCTGCATAGGTAGGAAAAAAGGGACGGCTCTACTTGTCCAACGCAAGGTGGACCAATGCCGGTATACTTACTTACCTAACATCAATGGCATTAATAAAAAATGCCTTTTAGTTCAATCAAGCAATACCATTGTTGGTAAATGCAATAGCTGCGTTCGTCTAGGAGTAAAGTTGACTACAGGATCCGCTTTAAATTTCCGTTCGAAGTCAGTTTCTGTGTTTAAGATTATTGATATTAAAAGACTGGCTGTACTTATCTCGTCTCGTACGTGTGTGACATTCATAACACTGTACAAAACTAAATGTAGCACGTTTTTTATTGTTTTCCAACAGTTGAAGACTCTTGTCTCTAATGATTTACGTAAAAAATTATTGAATATATATTTAATTTTATTCTCAAAACAACGGGAGAGAACATAAAAAGATTTTAATGACTCTTTTCCGTTCCAATTTATAGCACGTATTAACGGGCGCATCGAAGCAAATATAGGGTGGTGCATCCTTCTACGCACACTAATGCCTGTGTGAATACTATTAAATGCAATTAATTAACTGTAGCGTTTCAGCATAACTGATCATGCTTAACGTAATAAATATTTAGAGGGGCAACACGCGCGGAACACCTGTGCTCAGAACCCAACCCGCCCTACCCCGCCTTCGCTCGTTAAATGTAATTTACCCGGCTGAGGAAACGTTCATGTTCATGCTCGTTGAACACAGCTTAAGTCAATTATCCTTTAAAAAATTATTGTGAGCTATCCTAAAATTACTTATATAACATATTTTTCTATGGCAACAATTTGACGTCTGAAGATATTAAAATGAAATCCCGATATTTTGTCAATATTTGTTGATTATACCAATGTCCTCTATCTATCTCTCTGGTTCTACCGTGAAACATATTCTTGTTGTCATCCGATTTCAATGTTAGAATAGACGTCATTCAAACAGTTACTATGATTTAAGACCATAATGTTATATGTCAAGGAGGGCAACATTTAAATTGTTATTATGTCTTTGGGCTCCGTAAAATGTTAATCACTTAACATCCCTGCATAGATTATTTATCCAATTATAAAACATTGATATGCGTTTAAATCCCCATGTATTTCTTTTTATTTCAACTTCGGATGCCATGGTCTTGTACTGCTGGAAGAAAAAAAAACTGAATGAATCTCTTAAGGTTTCTTTAAACTTTTTACGAATGTTTATTAAAATGTCACGTACGATACTATCGTAACTTTGTTATTGTGACAAACATCACCTTGACCGTTAAAATTGAGCAGGTAGTTGTAGATGATCTCTGATCGACTTCCCAAAAAAATGTAAAAATTACAATAAGTTGCGAACGCCGGATCTTGTACACAATGAACGCGTGATTTATCAGGGTATTCTTTTTGTGCAAAAAGCTTACAGGTCAGTGTCGAGCCGAAGCACCAAAAGGGCATTCCGTGTAATCCAAGTCCCGAAGCGTGGGAACTATTTGCCTCGTTGTATCATAAATATCCAGGAGATTTAAAAACAAGTTAATTTAAATATAAACACAAACTTACTACATATTATAATTGGTAATTTCAAAACAACAATAATTTCTTAAAAAGATAATAACACCAAGTAATAAATATCTATAATTGTTACAAGAACTGTCAAAAAACAACGAATTACATTAGTACAGTTTTAATTGAAAACGAATCGATAAAAATTGTGGGGACACTAAAGCGAGTGGGCGAATAGTAGGGTCATATCTATGGTAGGGTCGTATGGGGATGAGCACCTGATGATCTCGAGATGAACGACGTGCGGCCTCAATTAGTTGAGATTATCCCGCACGTGTCGGATTACGAATTTAAAAGCATCAAAAATCGTTTTTGTTTGCTAACGAATGCAGACGCGCGACAACCGTCACGACTCTAAACAATAAATATCGTTCAGTAGAAATGGCTATAGCATTATTATTATGCGTCAAATTAAATACTCACTGTACTTTAGTGTCTATGGCATTAACTTACAAAATTAACAATTCAAATTTATCAGTTATTAAAAATCAACATTGATTTCTTTATTTAAATTATAAATCAGTCGGACTATTTAAAAAACGTCTGACGACATGACTGCACTAATTTTAGTGGACCGTATAATCTTTTTATTACTAACAAGCAGTTAATAATGTTTTATGCACGAACCTATAACGAGTTTTATGACATCTGCTTTCTTCGAAGAAAACAGACGTTAATTCAAGGAAACATATGGATGTACCGAATGGCGCTACTCGGTTTCAAAGTGCCGCTGGCTCCCTGTCTGCCATAAACTCGAACATTTGATGTATCTGCTGCAGTTTGGTAATTTAGTCGTGTAGTATAAACAAATAGCTTTATTTGTTTTTATGAGTTCAAAAGATTCGAAAACTTCCTTGATTCATGTTGATTTAGCTAAGAATTTGATATATTATTTTAGAATAATTGAAGTAAAAACTGAATTTTGATCAAAAAGCCTTTTTTTATTCCACTAGCTACGAGCGAACGCTCTACTATTATAGTATTAATTTTTTACAAGAACCTACGCTCACATTATATTGTAAAACAAGCGACCCACTGTTCAAAACAGTGCCCACGGCTGCTTCACGGCAGAAATCGCCTGGATTGTAATAATACCCACCTATTCGGGCTCAAATGACGCCGCACCGCCAGTCATTTATTTTATTTTTTTAATGTCTTAAAATCACCAGGTGACAAAAAATATTTTATTTAGTTATAAATATTTATTATTTATTATGTAGAATCGGTTGATACAAAATAGTCTGGAGGTTAGTTTCGAGGGAATTTTTTCATGATACGATGTTATTTATTCATCGTGGGAGCCACCCGTAAACATATCTTGGGCGTCTTTGAAAAATTGCTACGATTGGAAGTTCGACACAGTCGCATTACTGAGTGTAGGTACATCGGAAGAATTACCCTTTAAACTATAGTCGCTTCTAAATTGCAAAATAGTTTTGTGTAAAAACATATCTAAGCAATAGCAGGGCATGGAATATATATCCGAGGCAAAATCTACCAACAACGACGATTTTCAAACCTTGTTGGAAGAACGATATGTCATAATTAAACACTATAACTTTCTAGCACGGTGATGGTGGTGCTGTCATGAATATAAAAATAATTTTAGAGCACTTTAACATATTTTTATATTATATCTAAACAAAATAATTAGAGAAGTATACGGTAATTATGTTTTTTTTTTTCACAGGAGAAATTCGCCGGATCCCCACCCGCGCGGCAGGTGGGAGTTGAACCTCACTAAAAACTCCTGCCGCTCACAACCAGCGCCCTAACTCGGACCGGGCCGGAGCCCAGTCGGGGCTATTGAGACGCGCCGGGACAGGGTTGACGCAGAGCACATTACATCCATCCCACCGTCCCACAGACGCCGGACCGGCGGCCACCAGCGACACGACCACTGGTTCCCTCGTTCAGCGGGCCAAGAGCCGACGCCGCGTTACACCTTCCCCCAGAGCGGTCGTGGGAACGCGGTCTACCATCACCCGGCTTCCTACTGCGGGTGAGCGTGCAAAGCACGCCACCCCACGTCTGGGTCTCACCCCACGGGTGGGACCCCTAGCTCTTAGGGGGCCAGGTCACGGATACGACCCCAGTCCCGACCCCCTGCTCGGCGGCGGCGGGTTTCTGCGTAGTGAGCAGAGCTTTGCCTCACTCGCCCCGCCGCCTCCTTCTGCGAGATGGTGCACTCGCAGAAGTCGAGCATAGCCTTCCAGGACTCATCGCCGCCAAGCATCGATGCCACGACGCCAGGCAGCGACAAGTCAGGTCCTATCTTTGCGACCAGGATAGGGCGCCGCACCTCCTAAGCGGGGCAGACAGCGAGCGTATGCTCCGCCGTGTCCAGGTCGTGTTCACAATGGTGACACCCCGTCGTCGGCTCAGCTCCTATCCGGTGCAGGTACTTCCCGAAGCATCCGTGCCCGGTCAGCACCTGCACCAGACGAAAGGTGAGACGTCCTTCGCCACGATTCACCCAGTCATCAAAGACTGGGTAAACCGCCCCTACGGTCCGTAGCCCCCACGTAGGGTTGGCCAATGGCCTCGACACGGTAATTATGTAAATGTTTTTCACTTGAATTAAGAGCTATATCTACCTACGATTATTCAGTCTAAATATACTTAGTTAAGTACACCGTACGCACCTGTTGTATCTCTTTCAGAATTTCTGTAGATAAAACGGCTTTCTGGAAGAGATCGCTTTTACCGATAAGACCGCCTATTGTACAATTATACCTGCCTGTGGACTGTTTTTCAATGTAAATTGTGTTTTGGTGTGACATAAAGTACTATCTCCCTATCTCTCTCTCTCTCTCTGTTATACAGAGTTACTAAACAAAATTCTTGATGACCTACGTCAACGCGGAAATCTGTGAAATTTTATTCAAACAGAAATAGGTAATACTTGAGTTACCTACCTTGAGAGAAATATTATGTGAAGTTTTCTATGAGAGATAAATAAAAATGTCACATTTCACTAATGCTATGCAATGCAACAAAGCAAAGCACATGCAAGCTATTAGCAAAACAGCCTGTCGTTAATTAGTATGTGACGTATGAAATGAATGAGAACAGTATGATCCTCACACTGTTCTCATTCGGACTCTCATTCAAATATAGGAATGCTGATCTACAAGCTTTAATGCTCATAATCGTTAATGAACATGGAGTAACAGCCGTCAACGTTGACTTTAACGCTCTACCTATGCAAAATGTTAGTAAAAATCTACCCGTGAACAATTGCCATTCACCAAACGGCCGTCCGGTGTAGTGGTAAGTGACATGATCACTACACAAGGGGGTCCGGGTTCGAATCCCGCTAAGGGAAGATATTTGTATGATAAATATAAATGTCTTTTCCAGGATTATGGATGTATATTAAATATATGTATGTGTATAATAAAAAATCTTACATTTATATCCGTTATCTGGTACCTGTAACACAAGTTCTTTACGAACTTATCACGGGACCAGTTAACGTGGCGTGATTGTTAGTAAATATTTATTTATTTATTTATTCGCTTTTTTATGTTTTTAAGATTACTGAACATTGCTAACACTGTTGATAGGGAGTGTTTCAATCTACTAGTAATTCTGTGATTCGGCAATAATGTATTTATGGTATGAACCACCATATTTAATGTAGGTACATTTAGGGGAGCACATTTTAGAGAAACATTACCTATGTGTTGCGTATTTTATTATTATAGTACATTTAAAGACCAAAAATCGAACATGATTTTTTTCATACAACACGTAAGTAAATATGTAAATATTGTTAGAGTAAAATGATTCGATCATAGAAGCCACAAGTATGCATCTTACATCGGTGCACTGATGTGTGAGACGAGACTGGTCGACTTACGTATCTATAAGAAACCTTAGGAAAGGGATATCATATAAAAACTGGTATGAACTACAACTCAGTGTCAAAAACAATTTGTTACTCGTACTCATTCTGTACATTTGAATGTAGCAATTAAACTACAGATAGGATTTCTTTGTTTACTATAGTTATGGGACTATAAGTGTTGTATGCATTTTCCATATATATTTTTTGCATTAAATTATGAACGAGCTCAGGTCTCACCTGGTGCTATGTGGTTATGGGAGCTAAGATCATTAAAATATGAGGTGGAAATCTAAGTAAGTTTTTATTTTTTATTGCTTAGATGTGTGGACGAGCTCACAGCCCACCTGCTGTTAAAGTGTTGTGCCTCTAACAGCCGTCCCACTCTTTAAATTTGAATGCATGACTGCTTCGGGGCCGAATTAGGCAGGATGATGGTACCTCCTTTACGGACTTACAATACGTTATACCAACGCAATGGTATAATACCCAGATAACGTAGCTGCTCATTCTACGGTAAGTCCCTTAGTCGGCTATTATGCCACTTACGAGCTAAATGTCGTTCATGCATAGTAAGCTCCAGATCGCAGCCACCAATTTAGGACAGTGATTCCAAAAGTGGCGCATTGATATCAACCCCACGAAAAGTACAGTCGCGCTCTTCAAAAGAGGTCGCCCTCGCGACACTGTTGCTAGTATCGCGTCATCAATTAGGCGCGGTAACTACTTTGCCGCTATTAAAATCTTTGGCCAGCCCATAGCATAGGCTTCGAAGGCTAGGCTAGGCTACCTAGGCGTCACCCCCGACAGAGGGATGACATTCGGGCCCCACATTAAGTCAGTACGTGACCGAGCTGCACTCCTACTCGGCGACTCCCATGATCTGCAAGCGAAGTAAATTGTCCTTTCTTAACAAGGTGACACTCTACAAAACTTGCATACGTTGTGTCATGACCTATGCAAGTTTAGCCCACTGAGTTTCTCGCTGGATCTTCTTAGTGAGTCACGTTTCCGATCCGGTGGTAGATTCTGCGAAGCACTGCTCTTGCTAGGGCCAATGTTAGCAGCGCCTCCTGGTTTGAGCCCCGAGAGCTCACCTTCACGTCAGGGATACGCTGACATAGCCATAGATTAAAAATTTTATAAACAATATTATTACCTACTAGCTGACCCGGCAGACTTCGTAGTGCCTCAACTTATATATAATTAAAGACCTAAACTTTTGTATAAAATAAACTTAAAACAAACAAAAGGAATCCGTTCGATGGGGGACACATCAAAGGAAAAACAAAATTGTTATTTTTATTTAATTCCGAGCATTTTCATATTTATCTACCTTTTAAACCTTCCCTGGACTTCCACAAATAATTCAAGACCAAAATTAGCCAAATCGGTCCAGCCGTTCTCGAGTTTTTGCGAGACTAACGAACAGCAATTCATTTTTATATATATACAAGAAAGAAGATAGATATAGATAAATAAATTTGGTTTAAACTACTTTTTTGCAACATTACAGGAGAGCCATTTAAAATTTAAAACTTAGAAAAATGTAACAAAAAACTTGTTCAGCTTACTGATTGTTGATACTACTACTACTAGTTGATACTACTATCTGAAGTCGTCGTGGCCTGAAGGATAAGACGTCCGGTGCATTCGCATCTAGCGATGCAATGTTGTACGAATCCCGCAGGCGGGTACCAATTTTTCTAATGAAATAGGGTGCTTAGCAAATGTTCACGATTGAGTTTTACGGTGAAGGAATAACATTGTGTAATAAAAATCAAAACCGCAAAATTATAATTTGCGTAATTACTGGCAGTAGGACCTCTCGTGAATCCGCGCTGGTAGGTAGTGGCACCCCGCCTATTTCTGCCGTGAAGCAGTAATGCGTTTCGGTTTGAAGGGTGGGGCAGCCGTTGTAATTATACTGAGACCTTAGAACTTATATCACAAGGTGGGTGGCGCATTTACGTTGTAGATATCTATGGGCTCCAGTAACCTCTTAACACCAGGTGGGTTGTGAGCTCGTCCTTTCATCTAAACAATATAAAATAATAATAAAAAGTTTCTTTTCAATTCCTGCCACATCTGTACTGATGCAAAGGCTGCACTGCACAAGGAATTAAGAATCCCTAGCAGCATTATTTGTTACCCGTTTGAGGGATTCGTTAGGAATTTTGTTACCATTCTGAATAAAAATATAAATTGCCTATTAAAAAAAATTATTTTTTTTCCTTATTTTTAATTAAAATTTCGAGACTAGACCGAGACGAGTCTGTTTTTCTTTTTGCCGAGACGAAAAAATCTCAGTAAATGACCACCATTTTACTGAGACTATATTTCATCTCATTTCATTTCGTTTTCATTTCATTTCATTCGATGCCATGTTTCATATTAATCAACTTTATTTAATAATACCAGATTTCATATTAAAAAAGTTTTCATTAAAATTAAAACAAGACTTGACTTAAAGGTCTTAGTTACCAGGTCATAAAATCACTTTAAAAAAAAATAGCATGCGCCAAATAGGAGTATGTATGTAATTAATTTATTTCTCTAATTTTTTATATTATGAAATATTAAGCGCCCACCAAGAACGGCGTAATTTTTATAGTTTAAAAATTAACATACGAAATTTTAAACACAAAAAATGACTGAAGAGAGTGCTAGTAATAAAGAAACCCGGGAACTTTATTCTATGCTTCACCAAGAGTATACAATAATGACAGAATAGTAAGTCAAAATGAAGTTTGATTATGTATGTACTAAAAACAAAATAACAACAAACATTTACCTAACCGAAATATATTGTTACAGCCGTATGTTGCAAACAGAAAATTTACATGGAATCTATGTTATACCTTCTTATGAGAGTTCATTTCGTAAGTAAATGAAAAAGCTTGTCAATGCTAACCATGTTGCCTAAATTCTCTTTTTACAAACAAAAATGTTTCAGTTTGGTACGGCGTGATTTTTGTTCGATCTGGTCTCTACGAAGGAGGTGTATTTAGATTTACAATTACATTGCCTGAAAAATTTCCAGACGATGAAACACCTGTAAGTTTCCAAATGAATAACTTTCGTTTAATAAGAGTACCCCGGGAAAGGTTTTGAAATTTGTTAGATTATTTGACCATATCTCGCATGTTGAATATTACCAATATACCTTAATAAAAAAAAACAATACAGCCGGCTCTAATTATAGAAGTCTCAAATTTTAATGCAATTTAGTTTATCATATAACATTTCATAGGTCCCTTGCTGATCTTGATATAATTTGTAAAGTATACAGTAAAAAAAAACTAAATAATATTTAACTATCAACCATTTATCAAGTGATGATTACAACAAATAAATAAAAAAACAAAAGTGAATATTTATATATTTGATTTTTTATATAAATAAATTGTCTTGCAGTTTTAATCTAATATTTATTCAAATATTATTATAAATTTATCTAACAGAAATAAAACTAGAATATGTAAATAATAAATGTGTAGCCCCTATGAGTCCTAATTTTGATTATGGTTACTTATTTTTCATTAGGTTTTGACTTTTGTGTCAAACTTATATCATCCTGCTATTGACGCAAGCACTGGCCTTTTAAGTCTGAGAGAAGTGTTTCCAATGTGGGACAAAAAGCGTGACCATGTCTGGCAAATACTCAAATATTTACATATAATATTTGATAATTTAAGCATCAAGGTACCTGCCAATACTGAAGCAGCATGTATGTGAGTAAATATTTGTTTATGCAATTCATGTCAATTACGTTAAACTAAACTACATGTCTTAAACTTAAATTATGGGATTACAGGTACAAAACAAATCGAAAATTCTTTATGCAAAAAGTTAGAGAATGTGTTGTTACTAGCATAGATCACATATATGATGATCCACCTACAGAAGACAAACATTATATAACTTTTAAACCTTATGATCCTGATATACATGAAAAAGCAAAGGACATAATGCTTACAGCTTTTAAACCAACTGAAGGAGCCACTCAAGGGATGTCATGGGTTCAACAAGGATGCTACCAACCATTTTCAAAAGAAGAAACAATGTCATAGCCTTTACTGTTTTATCTAGTACTATTAAAAATAGCCATTACCCCTGTGATATTGACAAACAAGAAAAATTGAATAAAGAAGTGAATAAGAACTATCTAGTTCGAAGATATGGGACAAATGTGTATAAGAAATGAGATTTCAAAAAGACTTTGTGTGTAAATATATCGCCTTGTGGTAAGTCTATGCCATCTATAAGCCCCCATCATTACTAAACTCCCAAGTGGGTTTTTGGCTTAACAACCTCTAAAAACCCTTTAAACATTGTAATAAATATATTATGGTAACAATTATTTACAATAAGTGAGTAAGTGATACACTTGATAATTTATTTAAGATTGTTATCTAGAATGTTTAGTTTAACAAACAATACATAAATCAAAAACAAATAAAAACTTAGTTTCCAACACTGTTTATTTTTAAATTAAATCTTTTAACATTTTCATCAAACCAATTCAAATCTAATTCATATTTTTTATTGTGCCACGTCAGATGAGTGGGTGGTCTCATGTCTCCATTGTGAAATTCAAAATACTTACTTAATTCTATAGCTAGCTTAGATTTAATCAATCCCACACCTCCAAATTTTTCTTCAGCTACATGGTACACTCTGCCAGTTAATGGCAGCATATAAACTTTATCAGGGATAAACACTGTTCGTAATAAGTCACCGGCATATCCATAACTAAGAAAATCTACATTGTCTTCATGAAATATATGTGTAAACACTATTGGTAAATCATCACATCTGATATAATTACGCTCTCTTCCACAATGAGACACAAAAGGAAATTCTGCTTCATATTTGCCAGTTTTATTTAGTCTGATCCGTTTAAAAAAGAATTCTAGGAATTTCTTTTCTTTGAAACATGAAGTAAAATTTTTTATCCTAGCGTCATCTAAAAATAGCTGAAAAGAAAAAGAACTGCAATAACACTTTTATTTTCAATTTAATACACATAAAATTAAACTCCACACCTACCATGCCTTGATGATCAATATAATAAAAGTATTCTCTGATTTTCGGTTCAGGTTCCTGACCCTGAACATAGTGAAGGCTTTTCTTTTGCGAACAAATCTGTGGTATTATGTCTGTGATTTTAGCAATCTTTATCATATTACGTTGCATCATTGTTGAACTTAAACAGACAACCCCTAAATAAAATTGTTTTTAAATATTTTTACAAACAATAACTTTGACTTACTTTACTAACTACTTAAACTTTAAACCACGTTAATAAGCACATAATTAAGTGATATTAAGATAGGCACTTTCTTGAACAGTATAAAATTAGACGCAAATACGGTTGGTAGGTTGGTACAAAGTACAAATTCTATAGTGTTTAAACTATGTATGCATGTACAATATCATATTACTATAGGTCTATGTTATATAATAAACTTATGATTAATTGTTAAAAAAATCGTGCATTATTTGCTAAAGATGTTGCAATGACCATAGATTAAACACTTAATGCAATGACTATTGACTATATTTGAAAAAAAAAAACCATGGGTAGGTAGGTAATAACCTAAACGTTTCACAAAGTATGACAATCAGAAATCGATTCATCATAGAATCGATTTTTGATCAAGAAGTTTAGCAGTCAAAAGGCTAAACAAAACTTTAAAATCATTAATCATCTCAATCCATTCCTCGTTGCGATGTAAACGATTTACAAAGAAATAAAACCCTTTCACGATTAGAATATTATAAGTAAGGAATGTAAGGATAGAATTAGAATACACATATTTTTAAAATAATTATTTTTTATTAATTCGACACTGGTAACAGTGGCATGTCAAGAAGGCAAATGGCATACTGAAGACAGAAGAACGAATGAACCGATCTAACTAGGCCACAGATTCTATTCTTTACTTTTCAATAAAACAGCAACATTAGATGTATTGTGTGGGTAATTTGTGTGAAAACCCTTTCACTTAATACGTCACAAACTCAATAAAGGCAAAGATTTCTATTCCTTTCGTCTTTTCTTTTCAAATATTAAGTGTGCTATGTCTTATCGTTTACCTGTGAACGAAAATGTTCTGAAATTGCTATTGGGTTGGTTGTTAATCCATGATTTGCGTTTTGGTTGATATACTCTTCTTTTTTACTACCTCAAAAAGCAGTCCAGCATGCAGTACACCTGATGGAAAGAGGTTGGCCATCTGCGGACAATGGCAAAGCAAGGGGCCCCGCAAGACAAGAAGAAAGTACACTAAAGAGAAAATATAAAAAAATATAATTATGAGTATAAATACAATACTGGTACCTAGCCGTTTTAATAAATCGATTTAAATTTGACGTTTTTTGCTACGAAGGCCCTAAGTTTTAATTAATAAAATAAAAATAATTTGAATATTGCAAGTTACGATAGCTTTCTACAAAGGTTTACGAAACTGAAAAGTTATGCTAAGATAAAAGGTCGTTCTCTATAAAATCTAATTTCTAAAATTACATAAACTAAATTACTGATCGTAACTTCTGATTTTTTTCCAACACCTCCGTTGATCTCTCAGTAAATTCTATTTTACCGTAAACTTACTGCATTTCATCTCATCCGACATCTAATCGGTGTGCTTTTGTCTCGTCTTGTTTCATTTAATTTTCTTTCACTTTTCATACAACAGGTATGAAATCGATATTTCGTACAAAATCTTTGGCTGAATGGACTTAGTTTCCCGTACCTGATCGAATGACAACATTGTTTTAAGGGATTTTATGACTTGGTAACTAAGACCTTTAGGTCATGTCTTATTTTAATTTATATATATTCTTATTTTTATGAAAAATTATAATATGGAGTGAAATAGTGGGATGAGAAGAAATGAAATGAAATGAGATGAGATTATGATGAAATATAATCTTAGTGAAATGATGGTTATTTACTGAGATTCTTTTCAGTGAACTTTTTGGAAGATCCCGAGAAGATACGTCCAGCAGCTTTGTTTCATTTTCCCAAGTTTGTGCTCTTTCACAAATAATAATAATAATAATAATAATATTTATTGTTATTATTATTATTTATATGATTGTTGCCCACCTCGCCGGAGTGTGTCCTGCCGTCTTCCCAGGCGTGGCAGTGCTTAATACACATAATAATAATAAACCCTTTTTATTTCTGGTAAATTTACATAACTTAAAATCTATCTATGTGTTAATTTTTTTTATTATTAATTACAAATATTAAACAGTTAATAAATCACCGTAATTACATATTTAAACTTGAAGAAACACTAAATAGACAAAATAAAACAAATCACACAACTCCACTCCTCGTGTTCCTGCCAAAAAGTCCTGATTACGACTCAATAAAATGCACAGATGTACTTAGGCACGAACTTAAATATTTTATTGACACATGAACCATTTCATAGATAATACACATATTTTGAGGCGTTATTCATAGATTATACACGCGTTATTGTCACATTTGTCATTTGTCACTGAAGTATGAAACATAATGGTTATTGGTCACAGTAAAAAACATTCAAGTTTTTAATTATTTTAATAAAATATAAGAATTCTTAAATAAACTGTATACTGACGGACTACATTACTGATCTTGGCGTACTAGACCATCATAATGGCCGGTGTTAAGAAAAAACCTCAACTTCCAAAATCTGTTTTGGATATGAAATTTATGAAAAAAACCAAAGAACGGTTAGAACGTGAATTGGAAGACACTCAAGATCATGGTAGTTTATACTCGAACATTATCACAAACGCAATGAGATCAGCATCCGGAAACTATGTCACTGAAGCAAGCTTTATCTTCTGTGAAAACCTAATGGAAGGAAGGTTATCTTTTAAAGGCATGAACCCAGAAATTGAAAGATTAATGGAACAAGAAAAGCTAAAGGAAATACCCAGTGGTGAAATGCAAAAAGATATTCCTGATGACATTCTAGCAAAGAAATTTCAAGCATTCAACAAAAGAAAAAGGGATTCGAGCACTCCTAGTAAATATACAATGGTAAAAAAAAAGAAATCACATTAGTGAAGTTATTTATTCTATAGAAATTATTTTAAGCCAACGTTAATTCGTTAGCTTTGTTTTGAAGATATGTTAAAGCAAAATCTTAATAGAAAATACTGTCAATAATAATTTGGGGAGTAAATTGAAATTTTAAAAATATGCACTTGTAACTTATTACATGCCCAGGTATTCATACCACAAATTTTATTACTATATTGGGCCTGACAAAATACACTTACGACCAAGTTCCAATGGTAACCCACAAATTCTCAAACTCGATAAAAGTGTTGGAAGAATCTGTTAAATAATGGTAATTTAGATAACTGAGAAGATAAAACATGTTTTAAACATTGCATTTGTTTCAAACAAATGTAATATATTTACTTTCTATATTATACAAGACACTTGATGTGCTTATAACTGCGGTGCTGTGTTCAATTTTCACAGGAAGGTACCAATTTGTTTAATGAAATTCATACTTAACTATAGTAGAATTATTTTGTCCGTGCAGTTTGGGTCATAAAAAATTGGAGCGGTGAAGCGAGTATTTCGCTCTCTCTTCCACTCACAAGTCTTATGGACGGGCATAGTGATATGTATTATTGTTGTCGATAAGTGTTATCAATAGTGTATTTAGTTTTGTCATTTTGTGGGTTAGTGATAAAAATGAAAGAAATAATAACTAATCGAACACTTACACCACATATAGCCGCAGCAAGTTAACGAGAACGGCAGAAATTAACACTTTGTAACTTTTCGGGATTTATTCTTATATCAGTGAAATTTTTTAACATATTGTTGATTACAACACGTGCAAATATTATTTTGAATAAATTATGCCGTTTTGATATAAAACAAAGGAGTATCCATTGTTTCACTAAATAAATTCAGAGAACGAATGCATAAAAACACATTACTCTTTGACATAATGTACTATAATTTGCAGGTAAGTACAAATGACTCTTAACATAACAATGTCTCACTACCCTTCGTATACCGCCCCGCCGCCGTGTACCTGCCTTCGATGACTCATTTGTTTTTATCGATAATGGTGTTGCGCCCGCGCAACATGCTCACCGCCCTAGCCGGGCTATGTTTTATGACCCAAACTGCACCAACAAAATAATTCTACTATAGTGGAAGGAATAATAACATGAAACAAATTAAATCTTCAGAAATCAGGATTTGCATAATTACTGGCAGTATTTTTTTTTCCTACCTGAGCTAGCCTTGAGACGCTATTTAAGCGGAACCTTAACTAGTAGGTGAGCTCACGGGGCTCAAACCTGAGGACGTTGCTAATACGGACCCTAGCAAGAGCCGTGCTTCGCAGAATCTACCACCGGATCGGAAACGCGACCCACTGAGAAACTCAGTGGGCTGTATCTGAGGGTTAATTTACTCGTCGAGCCCTTCGTCGCAAGCGACGGGTTCGGCGAGAACGGTGACCGGTGCTTGAGGTACCTAAAAGCACCGTTAGTGGATCGGGTGGATCCGAAATGACTTGTTTGGGGTGACGTCGACTGCTTTCCATTCTTTCTGCAGGATCGGGAATGTACTGGCAGTATTATGCATTGTAAGCCTAAAGAATTCCTGTGTTCCAGTTTGAAGGGATATGTTATTCTATACAATTAAAACTGAGACATATCTTAGACAAGGTAGCATTCACATTGCAATGTTTATGGGCTCAGATAACCACTTAACTGCAAGCAGGGTCATTCACCAGTCTAACTTAGTGTATTTGTTGAAAAAAAAGTGGCCTTATATATTATGGATTTTGTTTGTAAAGTTAAGGTGACAATAAAAAAATAAGATTATCCCATTTTTTATTGTGTTAAGCTTTCCTTATTAGTTAATAGTTTATATTGTGTAAATACAAATAGCTGCTTTTAAAAGTGTGAGCATTTTTTATTTATATGAAGTTAAAATTTTCATTATACATATTATTTCATAATAATTATATCACTTTGAATATTTCATAATAGTCAATTTAATGTTTTAATTAAAATTTTATCTGTATATATTATATTTAGATATTTTTAAAGATTTATTTTGTTCATCAATTGCTTGAAGAGAAATGGCCAAATACAGTGTGTGGTTATAATAAAAATTTATTCTTGTTTCCTCACAAACTGACAATGTTCTCATTAATCAAAATTAATTTTCTTCAATCAAACTGAATTAGGTCAAAAATTTAACATCTTGTATTTGTCCTATTGTATATATTTATGATTTGTCAAAATTTATTACTGTTCAAAAATTCATTATAAAAATATGTCTTTGTATCATCATACTTTAGTCTTTCGCCTTATTTATTCAGAGTACTGATTGATACTTATATATGATGACGAAAGCAGTTGAATCAATCTAAACCCTGTTGCATCAAGGTGTGAAGGTCTCTGAAGGCAGCGCCAAGTCTACCTTGAAGTGTCTGGCGCTTAAGTAAGAAGGCTCGGACATCAAGCAAGAGTCGATGTATTTGCATACACTTTGAATATCGTTCTTCACGAGGTATGTCTACCCCAAGAGTTCTCACAGGAGCACTCACATTCGCTCGAACCACCGAGGAGAAGTTGCGCACTATGAGTCTTAATGCATTACAACCACATTGCATGTATCTGAAAGAATATTAAAAAAATATAGATTTAAATATATGTAGTTTTTTTTTCTTGAGCAGTTACGACAATTTAAAATGTACTTACGATTCATATTTGCTTTGTAGGAGTTCAAATATTTTGGGCAACATTAATAAACATATATCCAAATTCCACAGAGACCTAGAAAATATAATAATATTAAAAACTAAATAAGATAAAATATGAAAAAGAAAATATATAATAATACTAGCTGACCCGGCAACATTGTTTTGCCATATATAAGATTTCTAGGGAATTTCTAGTGTAGAAAAAAAAAACTAACTTATTGTAAGTGTGTAAGGATGTGGTAAATGAGTGAAACAGGTATGTAGTGCTGTGAATGATGAGGGAATATATAATAAAAATAACAAAACCTCATTCAACCACATAATATCTCATTATAACAAAACAAATATGTCCAAATAAAAAAAATGTTAGGGGTGGACAACCCTAATCACTTAGGGGTATGAAAAATAGATAGTAGCCGATTCTCAGGCTTACTGAATATGCATAAAAAAATTCATGAGAATCGGTCAAGCGGTTTCGGAGGAGTATGGGAACGAACATTGTGACACGAGAATTTTATATATTAAATACATAATGACATTATTAATAAATAAGAACAGTAATTTACAATTAAAAAATCTTACGGTTTATGTGCCATGACATTCAAGATATCCAGGATCACTGAAGTGTCTTCCAGAGCAATGACAGATTCTAAAGCTGTTTTTAAACTCTTATTTACTCTCACTGAATGAAATATCTAAAATTGATTAAATATAATTAACAACTAGTAAAATTTTGCTACACATTGCGGAGGGTATTACCGAATATGTGAAATACCATTAATTGTTAAACATGCTTGATTACCAAATACGACATCCGAGTATGTTAGAAAATTTTTAACTACTATCTGAACATAACAGTTAACAAGTGATTATTATTATCGTAGGTACTCATCGTACTCATAAAAATATGCAATTAATAGTGTATTTCTGTTATTCATTTTAATTTTGTACTACCTGCCATTAAACTAATTAATGCCCAATTTAGCTGATTTTGTTTTCTCATATGTGTTTAAGGTACAAAGTACATTCTATTTTCGATTTTGGGAATTAACAAGTTTATAAAAAAAAACTTCTAATACATGATTGATATTTGAATGATTTTGAATATTTTTAAACAAATTATATATTTAATTAAGTTAATTACCTGTAAAGCTCTCTGCCTCGCAGTGAGCACGGCCATCATAGAGTCGTGTCCCCGCATCATGACGCCGAGGACTTCCTGCTCGCTAGGCTCCACGACTACTCCGCGTGGCCCGCGTCTAGTCCCACCCTCGCGCACTCCTCGCTGAATACGTTAATTTTAAGATAAACTTAAGGCGATAGTGGCCGAAATATTATTCGAATATATATATATAAATATATATATATTCGAACACCGTTGCATCGCTATATATTCGTATATAGCGATGTAACGCTGATTGTAACTATACTGAGACTTTAGTAGAACTTATATCTCAAGGTGTGTGGCGCATTTACGTTGTAGATGTAGATTGCAGATGGGTTCCAGGAACCACTTAACACCAGGTGGGCTGTGAGCTCGTAAACACATCTAGGCAATAAAAAAAAATAAAAAACCTGTTTTAGTTACGACGATTCATCATAAAATTAAGAGTTGGTTTCGGATTCATTTTCACATGCTTACTGACATCAGTGTGCTTAGTGAGAGTTTTTTAACGTTCTCGATAGCGTAAAAGTTACCTGAAATTTGTATGTAGCTGGAACAGTGCCCCTAGCGGCAAACATAGGCAAATGCTCCAACTCTATACAAATTTGACTTAACTTTTACGCTATCGAGAACGTTCAAAAACTCGCACTAAACACACTGACTCGTCAAGTCTGTCCGATTATTTATTCAGTATTCTCGCCTAATTTTGTTGCCCTGCCAGTTGCGCGCACGAATGTGCTTTGGTTCTTCCCATGTAATTTTAATTTCGTAAACATTACTCTAGAATAATGTGAGTATTACGACTGAGGTGGGCAGCAGTGGCATTTTTGTATCTAGGAACTCTAGATAAACGCTAAGTCACTTGCCAATTTAACAAATGGTTATATAAAATATGAACAGATGAAACGGTTGACCAAGTTAAATAGTGACAAAAACATTTATGTCCCAGGAAATCTTAGTGACAAATACTGCGAGATTTTTTATAATTGGAACGAAGTTCCTTATCGCGCGTTGTGAAAGGGGGCTAGACGGAAAAAATTCTTACGAAAAGTTGTCACGACACTTTTTGCTATAAATTCTTACGAAAAGTTGTCACGACACTTTTTAGATCCGTCATTCTGACCAATCAACGTGTAGGCGCTTATCGCGTGACATTGCTCGTATCCGATTGGTCCGCGTAATGAGTACAGTTTCTCGAGATAGCGTTTCAACAATAGTAATTTAGTTCATAGTATTGTTTTTTTCTTCTTCATAATGCCGTAATTTATTATTATAACTTTAAAAAAAATTACAATTCCTTCACTAATTAATCGAAAGGCACTTCGTTCCATCCGGGTGTCCCTTGACACCTCTGAAGTTTTTTATTTTATAGTGTTGGTGAGGCGTTTTATAAACGTAAACTGTGATGTATTACTATGACTATTTATGTCGACAAGTTCTACGTTCTTGTTTGAAGACTAAGGCTGCAAAATGTGGTTATATTACAATACAATTGGGATTCCGACCTCATGTTTCAAGGTGGATGACTTGTTTCAAGTATCACCTATGGACTGCATTAATAAATAAGAATCCAGATTGACTACGAGCCCAGCTAAAGTAATAAGAAGAAAGTAGTAAGAAAACTTAATGGGTATTTACTTACGGGTAAAAACTCATCTAGGTCGAGCCCAACCGGCCTGTCTGTGTTGTACGGAATAAATTCTGGCTCAGACTCACGATCCGCAGCGTCTACACTTCGGTTTACGGTCACATTATCATGAACGCTGTCGACCCGGCGTCTGAAAAATTCAAACAACTTTTATAGAGATGATTCAATTAATAGATTAACACAAATGCACGGTTAATAATCCAGCGGCTTGGCTGTACTCCTGGTAATGACGATGTCCACGAGCGACGGTGACTATAAAAAAGAAAGTTTGCTTAAAACGGCAAAAAAAAAAATGTTTATGCTGTGAATATGTTAACAAATAATAAAACGGTAACTGAAATAATTAATCAATTTCTTTACCTCGACGTTTCACTCGAAGTTCGTGTGAAAGATAACGATCTGGGACCTAATGATGGCGGGCCCAACGACATGTCACTATTACTGGGTCTAAGGTTACTTGTGGCTAGAAAAAAAAAAAACAAATATCTTAAGATCGAATTATATTTTTTCCAGTCTTTAAATGCATGATAGAGAAACACGATGATGCCTAAATAAATAAAAGTACAGTGAGCTACAGAAGTGTTTAGATACTTTTAATGATTTGGTTAGTTCGATGAATCTTGATACTTGAATCGAAGTTAATAAAGATAAAATAGATGATGGTTTTATTTAATAGATGATAATAGAAAATATTTAACGAAAGAGTTTTTTTTTAATTACCCTGCAAGTTAACACAATGTCTTCGTTTTTTTTTATATTTAAGAGATACATACATTATGCCTGTGTGTTCGTAGTATTGATATAGTGCAAATTAGCCGCTGTGTGCATATTCTTCAGACAAAATAAAGTTAACAGAATTGTGTTAATAAGTGCGCAGATAAGAGAGACTTATCGAAACATCCTCTGTCAGTTAATAGTTAAACCAAATAAAACTTACTCAAGTCTGTAGATGATTTAGTTTCTTTGTATGAATTATGTCTATTGAGTGAACTTGAAGTTATACTATTGGCAGTGTAATCTCTCAAGGTTGATGTTGGAGATGTAGCAAACATTTTCTCTTCTTTAGTGTTGTCCATCACCCCTGAAGCGTAAGCAATAATATGCTATATACATACTTATGAGATCACGAATAAATAATAGCGATACATAAACATTATCCATTTTGTATTTGTCCCAAAAGAAAATTCATTTGCACTTACTAGTAAAGCTCTCAGTTTTCTTTTCAATCACTGTATAGTGTTCTTTAGTGGAAGTGGGTATCCGTGAATAATGCTCAGTACGATGTCGTTGCGGCGGCGAGGGTATAGGCAGCGGTCGTGATGGTTCACTCAGTACCAGCTCACGAAGCGTGTCACTTACTACGGTATCCTTCTCCACTGACTCGTGTCCTGGGCAACCATTATAAAATCGTTCATTATTATGGGTGTAGATGCATATTGGTAAATTAACTGAGTGTAATGTTTGGCCTGGAATTGTTTACTCAATGTTGAATGTATAAAACGCCCGCAGTACTTCTAAGGACACACGTTTTGAAAGGAATTTCACTATGAAGAGATAACATCCTGTATCAAAAAACAAACCCGCAAATATTCTTGATTCAGTCAAGTCAATTCTTGTTTCGGTTTAAAGGGTGAGACTGCCATTATGGAATTCACTTGAGACTTCGGCCTCGTGTCTCTGGATGGATGACGGCATTAAGCTTGTGTCTGTGGTCTCCGGGTTAACTTTACACTAGGTGAGCCGTGAGCTCGTTCACTCATCTAAGCAACATGAAACTAAGCCGCCTTGCATTCTTATATTATACTAGCCGTACTCGCCCGCTTCCCTGGGCATTTAAAATTAACATTATTATTTATTGTCATTATCATTAGGCAGTCCAACACTCATATAAATATTAGACTATCCATTAAGTACATATATTTTCTACATGAATACCAAGTTTCAAGTCAATCGGATGCATGGTTCAGTAGTTATAACGGAACATCCGTAAAAACCACTGTAGATTTATATATTAGTATAGAATATAGATTATATAGCAACAACCAAAAATCTTTTTCATTATTAATATTATTTAATTAATTAGTATCGAGGCTTTTAAACTCTAGAGTGGTTGGATTTCGTTGTCCCGGAGGGTGTAAATTAGTCGTAGTGTCGTACCTGATAATGAATAATCATCGGAAGATAAACTTGTTGCTGGAGGCGGCGTTCTATTCACTGAAAATGATATTCATATGTTAACGCAACATGTTTTAAATTATATGTATATGTAAAGCCTATGCCGACACTCACATGCTCGGGAGGGACGAAATATTTCAGTGTAGTCATTAAAATTTGATATGACTGCGCCTGAATCCTCATCAGCTTCTGTACCTGATGTTGATTCTTCGGCAGTTTTCTCGTCTAAAAGTGTTGGTCTATGTAAAACTGAAAAGTTATGCTTATATTAAAAACTGTTCAACCTTTATATAGCAGTAGTTATCAAAGAGAGAAGCGGACAAAGCTGTCTTCAGTAACTGGTTAAGTTCGTTCGATTGATTTACAGACTTTAGCATTATAAAACAGATCTATACAATACCTCCATTAGAATGAATGAATTTTGTAATGTGGGTTATAGTGAACGAGCCTGAATTTAATTTGGGAGTACAGGAGCTGAATCCCACATATAATTAAAAGAGTTTCAACTAGACATGCAGCATGCAAATGCAGAGCTATGAATATCACAATGAAACACTATTAACATAACTTATACTTATTATTTAAAGTATTACATAATTATTGATTGTTTATTTGTTATGGATGAAAGTAGGTGTTATCGTATATAGTAATTATAGTAGTTATGTAGTATAAGACTGTTTTACTGATGATAGAAAGTGAAAACTTGGTTTAGGACTCAGGAAATACTTGAAGGTGAATTCTTTGCAGTTTCATGATATGTGGAAAATATGGTTTCTACCACATACTAGGGATGTACAACGCTGCAAAGTTTCACTAAATAAACATTCAATTAAGATTTACTATGATTTCAATTTTATTTGTTGGGAATTGTTAGCATCCAATTCACAGGGAAAATCTGTAGCCCATTGGAGAATATTGGTAACAGTTGCTCATAAAATACCTTCTTTTTGTGGTTTTTCTTTTGAGAAACTTTTACGAACAGAGTGTCCTTTTTGAAATGGCGATAGATCTCTAATGATCGGAGGAGAAACCGGCGGAGGTCCACCAAATGGATGAACTTTGCTCAAGTCCACAACTGTTAACACAACATATGTTGAATGAAATGATGCAGCAATCTGGAAAATTATTATTTCAAATTTTACTTTTTAAATCATTGCATGACTAAATATCATTTGAAGAAACTAAAGGATTACAATTCAGAACTACTTGTGTGTGAACAACATACATACCAATTGTGTATGAGCCACTGTTAAATCATGAATCTGACCCCAATGTCCAGTTACAGTGTCCATTACTCGAGCAGGTTCCCAACCGATCACATGCAGGCCGTCATTAGCACACCCAAGCAAAGTTCCACCATCTTCACTGAATACCATGTGCCTAAATGTAATGTAATGAACTGAGTGTTGATTTTTTTTTTTACATATATTGTCATTCGAGATTGAGCTTCCTGCTACATTATTTAACAATCTGGGTACCTGATAGATGTGTTATCCTTTTGAAACTTGGAGACCAGTTGAAATTTTTCCATATCCCAAAAATTTACTGTCCTGTCCGTGCTGCAACTTGCAAGCAGGAATTCATGTGGATGAAATTTGACTGAAGTCACAGCTGAAGTGTGTTCAGTGAACTCTTGTAGTACTTTACCTATGCGGACATCCCACACTTTCACAATACCTGTAGTCCATGTGATAGAAAAAAAAACAATATTTGGTTCAAGTTATTTAACATTAAAATAATAATAATAATGATAGTTTCATTGCCCAGGAAATCAGTGACCCTAACTACTGTACTATAGAGTCCAGCTGTGATTCAGTGTGTTGGTTAGTTATACAGTACAGTCTATAATGACAAAATGAAGTAAGTGACAAACTTTTCATGCTAAGCAGATGTCATCAGCACTAAAGTTTTCAAAAATAAGTAACTTTCAATTTCTTTTCGTAATGAGTTTAATAAAAAAAGAAAGCTAGAAGTGCAGATATTTATTTATAAATCACCTGGACCAACATAACACATACATGTTAAAAACAGAATCACAATAAAAAGCTATCACTGAATTTTGGATGTGAGATCTGTCTGTGTTATTTCCAACTAAACTAGAAAAAATTAAGATAACTTACCATCTTCACATGCAGATGCAATCCACTGTCCATCGGGACTAAACTGCAGGCTATTGACAGCAAGTCTATGACTAGAATAAGTTACAATACATCCTCTCTTTCTAGTGTCCCATAGTTTAACATTACTGTCACAAGAACCTGTAGTTAGATAATCACCATATGGGTGAAAATCCATACACTTAATGGCTCCTTTGTGCCCTGTGAATGTTCTTAACAGTTTAGCAGCTTCCAAATCCCAAATTTTTAAGGCACCAGTTTGTGAACCAGCACATACTAAGTCTTCTGAATGACCAAAACACACACATTCTACAGGGGTTGTATGTCCACTAAGACTCTGAAACCAATATATATTTTTTAAGTTTAGACTATTCCATCTTTAGTGTTATCCTGGCAAATATGATAGGACTGAAACTCTACATAAGGTCAGGAAAAAGAAAAGCAAGAAATACCAATTGAAATTGAAAAGAATAGTCCTGCAATTCCTACTATCAAGCCAGAAGCATTAAAGGTTTTCAGTGTGCACAGGCAGGATGATAGTACCATATACCTCAACAACAGTAATGAACCAATTGATATCAAAATCTATGCTTGATTTTCATAGCATTATTTTTTCTTTTAACTAGAAAGTTATTCATAAATATAGTTTACATTTATTAAAACACAAGTAACAGATAAATCACTTACCATTAAACAACTTTGTCTTCCAATTGCCCATAAATTTACTTTTTTGTCATCTCCTCCAGTTGCTAAAACCTGATTGGACTTATGTCCCATTGCTAGGCAATTGACATTTGCTTTGTGTGCAACAAATTCTTCTGTAAATTAAAAGTGAGTTATGGCAATTCATATGCTTATTATGGTAATAAATATATTAAATACTCAATCTTATTGATGAATTATGACGACGTTCCAATACTAACGTAGTTTCCATGATCTTCGGGTAGCTTCCATTGTAATTAATAAATTATTACGAGAACTCCATGAAAAGAATTTCAAGCTTCAAGACAATTAATGTTTGGGTTACAATATTTATAAATAAAATTTGAGAGTATTGTGCTGAAAAAATATTTCTAGCAATATGTAATTAAAAACACTTTACTGTCACTTAGAGTATTTTGTCGCTTTTATGAAATTTATTCATTCGAATGGCGTGTACTATACATTAAATCCACTGTAACCTAGATTTTAATATTGAATTTTGACTAAATCTGAAGCATTTTGATTTTTTAGATTTGACAATTCATTTCATTTTATGACATAAATGTCCCAAACCCGAACCTTAAATTTTTTTAAGAGATTTTATGACCTGGTAACTAAGATCTTTAAGTCATGTCTTATTTTATTTTACATTGTTATTTTTATGAAAAATGATATGGTGGGAAATGAAATTAAATGAAGATAATTAATTTGAGACATTAATCAACTGGGATGAAATGAGATGAGATGAGATGATATGGAATAAAATATAATCTTAATAAGATGGTCATTTATTATTGAGATTTTTTCTGCGGACTTTTTGGATGATCCTCCTTGATCGTTCCTGCACCCACATCACCCCTACCCTGTGTGGCAGGGAGCTTCTGCCTGGGTAGTTGGGTTTGCCCCGAGGCCCGTTCCGTACCCCCGAAAGGGGGTACAACGACCCTTCTTCTTACATAGTGACGTCATTCCCGATCCTGCGGACAGAATGGAAAGCAGTCGACGTCGCCCCAAACACGTCATTTCGGATCCTCCTGATCCACTAACGGTGCTTTTAGGTACCTCAAGCACCGGTCATCGTTCTCGTCGAACCCGTCGCTTGCGACGAAGGGCTCGACGATTAAATTAACCCTCAGACACAGCCGACTGAGTTTCTCGCCTGATCTTCTCAGTGGGTCGCGTTTCCGATCCGGTGGTAGATTCTGCGAAGCACAGCTCTTGCTAGGGTTCGTGTTAGCAACATCATCAGGTTTGAGCCTCGTGAGCTCACCTACTAGTTAAGGCAACGCTGATATAGTCTCTCAAGGCTATCAGCTAAGGTAGGAAAAAAAAACGTAGTGAATATCATGTAAAAAAAATGACAATATAAATAATGCTCCACTTCAGATATCATCAAATTATACGATTTGAATTTGATTATACGATTGATTTAATTTTATTACAAAATACTAGAAACCACAAATTTCTATGCTGGTTAATATTCAATATCATTAAAAATAACTGAGTTTATTAAAACCGCACTAATCGTACTTTAACGACTAATTGGCCGTCTTCACTGATATTTTTTTGTTGAAGTATTGTTGAAGTTTGTTGAATTTTCAATATTTTTTTGATCTACATTAGAAATAACTAAACAGTATAAAAGCTGATGTAAACTTCTTAGTTGAAATTATCAGCCATAAGTTGACGTCATTGTCAATCTGTTTTATTCGATAATTGTCAATGTATCTAATGTAATCAAAGCAAATTTTACTGTTAATTTTAGCTTATTAAAACCTTATATTCAGTAAAGGTTTTCTCTTATTTCAATTTAATAAGCTAATAAATAAAAAAATGGATAGGTATCTCCGCCCTGAAAGGTTTGATATCGACCCGTCAGATAGCTCTAGTACGAGAGCTTGGATACATTGGCGTAAAACTTTCGAAAACTTCATTTTCGTGCAGAAGCCGACCGCTCCACAAACAGATGCACAGTCGGTTCGTCCGCCAGAAAAATGGGACAGCATAAAGTTTCAACTTTTGGTAAACCATATATCACCAAATATCTACACATATATAAGCGAAGCTACGAACTACGAAGAAGCGATCACAATACTGCAAAAACTGTATGTAAAACCGAAAAATCTGATTTTTGCTAGACATATGTTAGCAACAAGGAAACAACGACCAGAAGAAAGTATTGACACATATTTACAAGCTTTGAAACTACTTTCCAAAGATTGTGATTTTGTGGCTGTTGATGCAGAAACAAACAAAAACGATAGCGTACGCGATGCTTTCATATCCGGTATATCATCGCATAAAATCAGACAAAGGCTTTTAGAAAACTTAACTCTAACACTTGATCAAGCTTACAACCAAGCACTCTCTCTAGAAACTGCAGAGATCAACTCTCAAAACTTCAATACTGTCTCTTTAAATGCTGTTGCTCCAAAAGAACCAACATTAGTCTCTTCGAAATCACAAACTCTGCACAACGAGACTTGCTCTTCTGTTAATAATCCTCGACGGCAAAAATGTTTCTTTTGTGGGGGTCAAATACATCCTCGTAAGAACTGCCCTGCCTTTGAAAAGACTTGTCAACTCTGTAACAAGAAGGGGCACTTTGCCACTGTTTGTAGAAGCTCTTCTAAATCTACAAATTCTGTGGTAGTAGGTACTGAAGATCTTTCCGCTTGTATCACAGCAGCGTCACCTTCTTCATTACGTAAAGCTACTGTACCCGCTTATATTCGAGGAATAAGAGCAGAAGCACTTCTCGACACCGGCAGCTCCATCAGTTTTATAAATGACAACTTTGCAAGACTATGCGGGTTAAAAAGAAAATCCTGCAATCAGACTATTTCTATGGCCTCTCTTAATTATACTT